GATGACACACACCCCCATCTGCTTTTTAAGATCTTCCAGGAGACCCTTCTCTCAGTCTCTCAAGCCCTGGTACGTAAGTGTTGCTGTTGTTTAGTCGTTAAGTTGTGTCCGACTGTTTGTGACCCCATGGACCAGAGCACGTCAGGCCCTCCTGTCTTCCACTGCCTCCCGTAGTTGTGTCAAATTCATGTTGGTCACTTTGATGACACTGTCCAACCATCTCGTCCACTGTTGGTCCCCTTCTTCCCTTGCCTTCACACTTTCCTAACATCAGGGTCTTTTCCAAGGAGTCTTCACTTCTCATGAGATGGCCAAAGTAATGGAGCCTCAGCTTCAAGATCTGTCCTTCCAGTGAGCACTCTGGGTTGATTTCCTTCAAAATGGATAGGTCTGTTTGCAGCCCAGGGGACTCTCAAGAGTTTCCTCTAGCATCACAGTTCAAAAGCATCAATTATTTGGCGGTCAGCTTTCTTTATGGTCCAGCTCTTGCTTCCATACATCGCTACTGGAAAAACCATAGCTTGGACTATGCGGACCTTTGTTGGCAAGGTGATGTCTCTGCTTTTTAAGATACTGTCTAGGTTTGTCATCACTTTTCTCCCAAGAAGCAGGAGTCTTTTAATTTTGTGGCTGCTGTCACCATCTGCAGTGATCATGGAGCCCAAGAAAGTAAAATCTGTCACTGCCTCCATATCTTCCCCTTCTGTTTGCCAGGAGGTGATAGGACCAGCGGCCATGATCCTAGTTTCAGACCATTTTTGCACTCTCCTCTTTCACCCTCATTACAAGGTTCCTTAATTCCTCCTCACTTCCTGCCATCAGAGTGGTATCATCTGCACATCTGAGGTTGTTTATATTTCTTCCGGCAATCTTAATTCCGGTTTGGAAGTCCTCCAGTTCAGCCTTTCTCATGATGTATTCTGCATATAAGTTAAATAAGCTGGGGGACAATATACAGCCTTGTCGTACTCCATTCCCAATTTCAGCCTCCTAGGGAAATGGACCCAGGTCCTGGCACACCCTCATTCAAGAGTCCACACATTCCTAGTATTTGTCATGAAAATACCTCCACTCCAAATAAACATGTAAATGACAGAAATGGATAATCTAGAGTGGTTTTTTAGACTAGATGGACAGGGTATAAATCAAATAAATAAATAAAATAAAATAAAATAATCTCTACTTAACATCACACACTATTCTTTTTTTCACAAAACAAAACTTTTGAATTAAATTTTGCAAGAGGAAAATGTTCCACGGTGCCTTTCATCTTTATTAATACAAAATGAATTGAAATGACATCCGAACATTCCATAAAGTTTATATATGCAAATAAGCAACAAAACTGACTTTAGAAATGAGATAAAATTTTGCATCCTTCTTCCAAATATTTATTTTAGCTTACAGTGTCATGTGTGCATGTGTATAGGCTTATATAAATTTAGACTCATTATCTTTTTTTTTAAAAAAAATAACTTTAAAGAAAGAGCATTAAAAAACACAACAAAAGAATATTAATACTTTTTTTCTGTAATTCTAAAAAGTTTCCATATTTTTAGCCTTTCCCACGTTTCTAGCTGATGGCAAACATAACATAACATTAATAACTAGCACTGGATATGGAAAGTTCTATTATCCTCTGTTAATCTACGGAGCTCAGAGAGATGTATGGAAACTGGAATCCCCTGAGAGTTCATTAATTCAAAAAAGGTGTGCCCCTACAAAGGGCTGCCAGGGTAGACACACAGGGAGACAAATATATATTTTAACACAGTGTGCCAGCCATGAAAATTTTAATTCCCTGCCAGACATTCTGTTACTCCCGTTCTCCAGATCTCTTGCCAAGCTTGACCCTGACCCTGGAATTCTGCCTTTTCAAATGTCTTGTTGATCCAGAGTGTTTGATTTAATGATTTACCATGCTTAATTATTAAACATTTAATAAATAATAAATAAGAGGATAAATATTATTGCTAAATGAAGACATCATTTACCAGAAAAGGAAGGGCTGAGGGAAGCTATTGCTCTGAGCTGCTGAGGAGATCTATGTGTTCCTCAGAAAGAAAGAGACTGAGAAAGATTGGGAGAGAGAGACTGAGAGGCACACAGACTTGGTTTCCCTCCTCGCCAGGCTCCCATGGGTGCACAGGTGTAGCTTGCCTCAGAAGTAAGTCCCAAAAGACAGATGCCATCAGAGAATCAGGTCCTAGGGGAGAACCCACTGTTCAAGTTGGACAGATGACCACATGCTCATCTCAGCCATCAGACATACAGGCGGATTGGTCTAAGTAGAAGGGGCAAGAGATGGCATCTTCTTATTCTTGTACAGCATGAAAGAAAAGAGGTACATCCTCAATATGTAGAAATAGAGCAAAACCATTGAGCCATCAGGCTTAATACTGTTCCATAACTCCTTACAAATACTTATGCTGTTTTGTGTTGTCTTCATCACGAAAGGCTTCTACTCATCATTTGCCACAAAGAGATATGTTTCCAGCTCACGGTAGTCTTATCTAATAGGGGGTGTAAGTTCCCCTTACAAAGGCAATGTTAAAACATTTTAATGGAAACCCCAATGCAAATTATTAACCTGTATTAAAACACATTTTCCAGCATCCACCAACTTTTTTGTTTTGTTTCCCAGATCAACATGCTCAGGCCAAACTGGCAGAACACATCACTCTCCTTTACTAGTCACCACTGCATACAGCAGCATCAAAAACATAAACCCAGTGCTGTCAGGTGAAAATTAACAGAGCAATATTCCATCTAGCTTAGTGTCTTTAGTGTGGGGCACCTTGATGCTGAATTTACTTGATCTTAAATGCTCTCTCAAGTCACCAGTTTAGAAGTATCACAAGAATCCAGGCTCTCTAGACAAGTGGTCCTAAACTACTTGTGTGCTTGAGCAAACACACAACAGTAGTTCAGTTTGCATATCTTACTCCTGCTTTGAACTGCAGTATTTTACTTAATAGCACCACAAAGTGTGGTCTACAGATACTATATATTCTTCAGGGAGAAAGTAAAAATGTTTGTTTTACTTTCAGTGTAGCCAGCTTGATTCCACCCCAAAGTTACTTTCATTCTGTGGTAAAATATGTTTAATCTGTGGTAGAATTACCACAGATTAATATATTTAATACAACAGATAAAATATATTTAATCTGGTGAAATTTTTCCATTCCTCTCAAGCACTGAAATATGCCATTGAAGGTATTAAATATTTTTAATCTGTGGTAATATATGAACCTGAAAGGAAATCAACTGAAGGTATTGTGTGGGAAGGGAAGAGGCAGTGTACATCCACATATCAATATTAACCCATAATCTCCATAATAAAAGAGCCCAGATATTTAATTGCATACATATTTTAACATGGAAGAAATTCTGTTTACATCTGAAAAGTGCCTATGAAAAATATGTACATTTGAAAAATGCACACAAACAAGCTCTAGTCAGTGGGAATAAAAAAAGGAGTATTTGAGGAATGCATATATTAAAATGTGTCCATTTTGGAAAATGCATAGAGTTTATTTTTGTTTTGGGCTGGGGAAGTCCAGCCTTAGTGGAACCTGAACAGCAATGGGGATGGAGATGGAAAAATAAGGATCTCCGCAAAATAAAGCATGACATTTCGCTCACTCCTACATTTTACTTACAGTCTCACTTCATAATGGGTTTTGTAGTATTGCATAATGTGGTTCTAAACATGCCAGCTCAGAAATAGTGGGTGTTCAATGGAAACTCTACTGCCCCTTTCAGATCTGTTTTGCTTTCTTACCAGAAAATTAAATATCATGAGAATGGCTTGGCATGAAAATGTTCAAATATTCAGGGATGCATAAAGTTTCTTTTAAAAATCAATCACAGAATATAGCTATTGCACAAATGTGGAATGCTCATTCATGTTAATGTACCTGTGTCTAAAAAGGCCACCTTAATTCTGAAGTGAGAGAACTACCATATCTGATCAAACTCCAGTGTTCTGTTTTGTTTTTCAGTGATTCTGGATACAAGTTAATCTTTTCTTACATACCTTCAACGACATATTTCAGTGCTTGATGGGAATGGAAAAGTTACACCAGACAATCCCTTTGGGAAATAGGGTGCAGCATCTTCTCATACCCTCTCCCTTCTATGTACTTTAGTTCTGATATCCTGCTGATTACCCGTTAAGACTTTTGCAGAAAAGCATGCACTTTAATCACTGGAATACATCTGTACGCAATTATTTTCCAAGTACATGTAAACATACATATGCATACACACAGCTTGAAAAGGAACTCTCCAAATCAGAGGAATGGACATTTAAAAGGTGAATACAGTTCAATGCAGGTAAGTGTAAAGTGACACATACTGGAGTGGTGGTGGGACTTTACACATGCGTGTAAATCCTGATTTTCCACACATACATGATGGACGCTAAGCTGGCACTACCTGACCAGGAAAACGATTTTGAAACTGTTCAATAGAAACATTGATCCAAATATATCTGCTGGTTTTTTTAAAGGTCAAATTCCACCCCAGAGATCATTAAGAAATAGAAACATTGATCCAAATATATCTGCTGGGTTTTTTTAAAGGTCAAATTCCAGAGATCATTAAGAACGGAATAAAAAGCAGAACAGTTAATATACCTTTGTAAAAGTTTATGGTGGAATTAGGTCTGGAATACTGTGTACATTTCTAGCCAGTGCATCTCAGAAAAGAAATAATGCAGCTGGAAAAGGCATGTAAAATGACAATCTACATGATCAAAAGGCTGGAGCAAATCTCATATGAGTAAAGGTTACACGCTGTAGGCTTTTTAGCTCAAAAAGAATTTGAGTAAGAGAGGACAAAGGTATGCAGGCCATGGAAAAAGCAAATAGCAAAATTTTCCCCTCCCTTCCCCATTCACAATACTGTACTAGAACCTGACAACCAGAGAATACTGAGGGCAAACAAAAGTACTTTTTCACATGGAATGTAGTTTAATTGTTGAATCCACTATGCAGGATACAGCAAGGACCACCAACCTGGAGAGCTTTAAAAGTGACAAGGCATATTCCTGGAAGGTAAGGAATCAATCTCTGTGAGTCATGATATGGATCCACTACCCCCAGGAATGCCTCTGGAAGCCACTTGTGAGGGAGCCCAAGCTGGAGGCCATACTTGCCCTCATGCCCTGCTTGAGGGCCTCCCATTAATATGTGGGTGGCCACTCAAGAGAACTATGGTGTGACCCATCGTGGCTTTTCTGATGTGAAAAAAATCCTAACAATGTTGCCCTTCAGCCCCACATGTATGACTGCAAAGCCCCTAAAAACATGCAGTGTCTACAAAACGTTTACCTTTCAAAAGTTGGAAATCATCCTTTCTATTTCCAGCTTTCCTTCCTTTTGTGACATTTTCTGCAAGGATGAATGACTTCCCCCCTTTCCACCTGCGTTTTGTTTAGATTGTTAAATGTTTGTTTCCCTTTGTTGGGCATGAAGAGGCCATAGGCACAGACCTACAGTATGTGTGAACATCCTGAGTGGAAGCCTTCGGCAAGAAGCCTCTTATAGAGTGAAAAGTGCATACCCACCTGCTTTCTTTGGATAACCTTTCACCTAACCTGACTGCTGTGCACCAATATAGATGTGTTAAAATAACTTGAATCCATAGAGGGTATTTCCTGCTCTTTCAAGCTGCTCTCTCTTATGAAGCAAACAAATTTTTGTTGTTGTTTCTGAATCACAACACCACATCTCCATGCCCAGCATTCACTGAAGCTTCCCGCTGAGTACATCTCCAGGTCACTGATCAGCATGTTGGATCCTGGCTGGAAACATGCTTTGTGGGAGGGGGGAAGGGATGCTATATGAAGATGCTACTTTCATATATATTGTTTCAAAGAAATGGGACATCACATAAAATAAATAAGCTCACAGATTGGTCATCATTGTCATCTTCCTCTTAGAACTGCACAACTGGAAGGGACCCAATGGATCATCAAGTCCAACTCCTATTAAGGAAGCACAGTGGGGAATCAAACTCCCATCCTCTGGCTCTACAGTCAGAGACCTAAACTACTAAGCTATCCAGCAGTTCTTACATGTGTTAATTTATTTAAAATATTTTCCCCTGCCATTTTCCTTTAAAAGGATCCCAGGTGGCTTACATGTTGTTTTGTCAGTTCTTACAGAAAAAAATCATTTGAAATGTCAGGTAAAAACCAAAGGACAAAAAAATCATATTCAGAACAAATACAGTGTGGATGTTAGGCTACATGTTACACACTGCAGCAGAATCTAGACCTTTTACTTTTTGGGTCTTCAGTTCTCAGAACCCCAAGGCTGGTGTGATCTTACTGACTGGGCCAAGCAATTCTGGGAGTTGTAGTTGAAAAAGTCGTTGTTCCAAGTTCAGTAGTGCTGCCATATTTTCTTATGAAAGCAGAAAAACTCCTGCATTGCAGAAGTGCCACCAGGAGGGTGCCTAACAATTTCAGCACGAAGAAAAGGGTACAGCAACAGTGCGGTCTGTGATGAAAAATGGACTGATCTGATCCTAGAGCAGCCTTCCCAAGTGTCAAAAATGTGATGCTCATACAAAGTCCTCAGAGCACTATAGAACTTCATAATACCCTTTGGTAGTTTGAAACTGTGATGTTCTGTCACAGCTAACATTTATCCATGAAAGAGTTAAATACCAGTGTGAACCTAACAATCATGACAAATATATCAAAGTCCATGTGGTCATAAATGTACAAGTCATTTACTTTTTCCTGCCTGGTTCACAGAAATATAGCTTCCAAACTTGTTCCATATTTCTTCATAAGATGAAAATAAACCATTGTTTTGAGTTATGGTAAAGTAAACAGGGGGAAAATTTTCCAGGCAACACTTGCTTGTCTAATTCTACAAGCTTTATTCATTTACATTGCTTCTGCATTTCATATGCATGAAGATACTTGAAAATTGTTGAAAACATGAAGCTTTGTAAAAATCAATAGAAGTAGAAATGCACTTCTTAGATTGTTAACATACTTGAACACAATTGTGAAAAATAATATGTTTTCTAAGAACCCATGCAGCCATTTGCCAGTTTAAATCTATGGAGGGAAATCCATGATTTTTGTGTGCTGTCTTTGAGCTATTGAATCCAGCTAATATTGTTTCATTATCCTTTTCCTTCCCCAGCCTCTGGGCTTGGCTTGGCTGTGTAGCAGCTCAGCTAGGTTAGCTGACTCTGTGCTGATTGGCATCCTGTTTACATTACACCAGGCCTTTTATAGGCAAATTATGTTTATATATCCTTATCGTTGTTTACATATTTTTGCCTGACTTGCAGATTCCAATTTTGCTAATGCAAAAATTTCAGAAGCAAATGTTTTCTGATAAGAGGAAACAACATTATTTTACCTTTTTCTCCTAACCTAGCAGACAGAATATATTTTCTCATTGCTTTGGTATCAGACTCCACAACATTATTGAGCAATGCACACAGAGAATTATTTTAAAAATGGAGTGGCATCACCAGACAAATATAGTATTTATACAACATTTAACCAAACACTATACTTGGCCATCGCTCTTTCTATGCAGGTGTTTAGGACTTGTCCTTCATACATAGGATGGGCATACCAAAGTGAGAGGAGTATTTCTCTCATCTAGACCAAGCTTTAGTGGCATCTCTTCTGGAACACCAGCATGTCCTTGGTCCAGATCTTTCTTCTGTCACACCTCTTCCCCAGTATGAAGAGCATGTAAGTCTGGCTCTCTGCAAGAGCCAATTTATCTCAAATCTCCTATTGCTTTCCCTCTAATGTACAGACAGGTGATTTTTACAGGTCAAGGGAACAGTTTTCTGTCCTTGGAAGCTACAGAGAGATTGTACAAAATGCTAAGAAATGAAACCAGTGAAATCAGAAATGCTTGGAAGTCTACTTCCCATTTTAAAAAAGTGGGCAGGGGGTGTTAAACATTGCACGGGGCCTTGTAGCTCATGTAAAAAGTGAATCAGGCTCCTAGAGCTTCTAAGAGTATAAATATCCCCTATGCTTGCAGAGGGGTTGAGGGGGGAAATATTTGGTAGAGACTGGAGATGCATCAACTCCTGTGAGGGTTACATGTGACCCTAGACCCCACGCTTTGCCCACCCCTGCTCTAGATCTACTTCCTAATGCAGTCCCATCTTTGAGAATGGATGCAATGTAATCTTGCCCTGAATTACTCTGCAGAAAGTGAGGCTATTGTTTTCTGCAGCTGTTTCTTTGCCCACGACATATGTGAGGCTCACATTACCTCAGGAGCACCATAGCCATTCCGAGTAGACTTTCTTATCTACCTTTCTGTTTCTGTCATCTAATTGGCCAAGATACCTATTGCCATCTGGTAAGTACTTCCTCACAAAAAGACCTCTTTGCCCTAAAACATTTGTTTTTCTTCAGAATGCAAGTGCACTCATTTCCTATAATCCTGTAACCCACTCTCAGTTATTTGTGGCTAGAATAGATTTAGTTCTCCTGGTCAGACACAGCATTACTAGCCATTCCCATCCTTAGTCACATCAGCAGCTGCAAGCAAACCTGGAGAATGAGTCACATTTATGTTCTGAGACAGCATTCCCCAAATCTGGGATCCTAGATGTTGTAAATCTATAATTCTCCTCACCCCCAGTCAACATTATCACTGATCAGGAATAATGGGAATTGGAGGTCCAAGTCTTGGAAAAGCTCAATTACTGACAATTTTGTAGTATTTTGCAGTATCTATGTTGCGTACTGTCAAGCTGGATCCAATTGAAACTGACCTTAATAGGGCTTTCAAAGTAAGTGAAATATTTAAGGAGTGGTTTTACTAGTTCCACTTCTCCGGTGAGTTTCCATGGCGGAGCAGAGATTTGAACCCAGGCCTCCTAACGCCTAGACTGTCACTCTATCCACTACACTACACTGGGGATGTTAGTTAGGCATCCTTCAGTCTCGAGAGACTATGATAATGTGCTCTGTATGGAGGACTTGGAACAGCATCTAGTGTGGCTGACAATGCCAGTTTGAGTTGGCCTTCTCGAATTGGCCTTCTCACTGGATATGTACCCTTTATTAAAACTAGTGAGGTTTTTTGTCGTTGGAGGAGAGGACTGTTTTGACTGTTTTTGCTAAATTGGCAGTCTTCCCAATTCTCAAATTACAGGGCTTGGAATGGCTTGAGTGGAGGAGTTGCAAAGGAAACTCTCTAATTTTTAAAGAGCTTGTTGAATTTTCCATTTTCTTGTTCTTTTGTCCATTTTGGAATATACATAGTGGCTTACAAATAAACTTGCCCATGTAGACAACAGAAGATTGAACTTTGAAGTTTCTAGTTGGTTCCTGATCTTAGAAGACTTCGAAGACATCAAGAAACTATCTAGATCCTTAATTATAGGCTATTGGTGAGTTTTTTACTTTTTTTTTTTTTGCATCTGGATACCCTCCTATATTTGCGCTACAAATAACCCCTTAACTTGGAATTATAAATAAGTGTCACCCCGGGATGTGCAGGTGAACATTTTGAGAAAATCGATGAGAGATAGGATATTAAGAGTAACAAATGACAAATCATTGAGATGTCAAGGTTAAGATATAGTAGTAATGAAACAAATACTGTGGAAGATAAGAGATGTGAGGAAACAATATCAATTCTTAACTAATAAGCTTAATGAGAAAAAAATAAATTTCAGATAGCTAGTGTTGGAGGGAATATTGATGAATTGGGATACTAAAAGATTCAGACTGGATAGCATTGATAAAGGCAAAAAATTCTAAGATATATTAAGACAACAGAAGAACAAGAAACCCTGAAAGGGAGAGAAGAATATGAATATTCTTTGAGACCGCAGAGTAAGGAAAGAGAAGAACAAGAACAGAGGGATACAAATAAAGAACTGGAAGAGACAGGACAAGAACAAGATGCAACCATGAAAGAGAAGAGACAAACCAGGACAATAAACCCCAAATATAAATAAACATGGAGAAAAATATAGGAATATTCTCAGTTAATATAAACGGACTTAACTCTCCAATGAAGAGGAAGAGAATATTTGCTAAATTACAAAAGGAAAAAGCTTAGATAATCTGCCTTCAAGAGACATATATTAAACGACAATATCATAAACTACTAGAATGTAAGAAATTGGGAAAACTCTTCTTCTCAGCTGACCAGGACAAGAAAAAGAGAGGGATAGCCATATATAAGAAACCCAGTAGAGAAGGCAAATTTGTCTATGCAGATAAAGAAGGAAGGATATTAATGGTTGAAACCATAATAAACCAGAAAAAAAACAACACTATTAGTGGCAATCTACGCACCCAATAATAACCTGGAGAACTTTTACAAGAAACTATATGCCCAAATAGCAGAAAAGGAACCCCAATATGTTTGTTTACTGGGTGATTTCAACACAATAGCAGATGAAAGATTGGATTATAAGAAAGGAAACAAGACCACAACTAGAAGAAGGAAGCTATCACAAATATTTTTTTCAGATGGTGGAAGAACTGAGGTTAAAATATATATGGCGAGAATTGAACGGGGAAAAACAGCAATTTACCTTTTACTCGAACAGACACAAATCCTGGTTCAGAATAGACATGGTATGGACCTCACCAGAACTGAAGCTAGAGATACAAGAAGTAGAAATAGATAATAATTTATGGGCAGACCATAACCCAAACAAAATTAAATGGAGAGGTATCCAGAGGAAAAACAAGAGATGGACTTTAAACGCAGCTATTTTGAAAGAGAAAGAATTCATTGAGAGGGCCAGAAAAGAAAAGCATTAAAGCAGTGGCACATTGGTGGGTAATCTGTGAAGCTTCTCAGTCGTCCAGGTGAGGTTATCTGGAAGCTGAGTCATGGCAACTGGACTTCTTTCTTATTAGGTTGAAACATTTCACTACTCATCCAAGTAGCATCTTCAGTCTGAAGGAGCTACTTGGATGAGTAGCGAAAAGTTTCAACCTAATAAGAAAGAAGTCCAGTTGCCACGACTCAGCTTCCAGATTGATGGACAATGTTTGGCCTCCATATGTTTTGGGGATGCAACTTTCATCATCATTCCTCACTGGCTTTGCTGCAGGGCTGATAGGTTGAGTTTGGAAAAGGCTACAGAAATGAATTAACAGCTTTCTTTCCAGTGGAACCCCCAGTTTCAGAATTTTCAGCAGCAGCAGCAGCAGCACAGTCTGTATGGAAACAATTTTCATTCCTTACTGAATACTAGATAGAGCTTGAATCAAGCCACTGAGCTGATCATCTATTTCTGCAGTAAATGTTTGCATATTTAAACTCTCTCCTGAAAGCCCACCTGTACTATACTGCCTATAAAGCATCTGATGGTAATTAAGCAGCTGCTGTACTGCAATGACTGTTTATTGCACCATTCCTAACAGTCTTGCTTTTAACTGTACTTATATTTCCTTCCTGTGAGATCCATGTGGTGTGTGTTTTTCTATAAAATTATAGGCCTTCAGAACAAGATCTTCCTCTCCCCTCTCCCCCGCAGTCTTTTCCAATGCACAGACCTCCATGCAGATTAGACTACAAATTCCATTGACTGTCTTGGCTACAGATGACCAGAGGTGCAGACTAATACATCTGGAAGAAAACATAACACTGAATGCTTTAGTGCTGCTACATTGCAAATACATTCACATGAAAATATAAAAGTGCCTTAATGTGTTTTCCTCAGGAGGGTAAACTCATAACTTTGTACCCAAACTCCAAAGCCCATTCAAAAAAAAAATCCTTGGCATGTTCTATTGTGTAAACTGTTGTGATATATGCTGTGTCTGATTATCTACAAATGTTTCCTGTGAATGTTTATTCTGATCCTGAATTTGGATTTTTGTATAGCCTGTAATATATTTTAGCAACAGGTGCTTTGGTCACAAAAGAGACAACACACTCACAATTATATTCTCAAAGGCTTTCAAGGCAAGGATCTGATGGTTGTTGTGGGTTTTGTCGGCTGTTTGGCCATCTTAAGGTTTTTCTTCCTAATGTTTCCTCAGTTTCTGTGGCCAGAGGACAGGAGTCAGAACAGAGCACAGACGGAGCACAGACAGAGTTCTGACTCTTGTCCTCTGAAGATCCTGGCCACAGAGACTGGCAAAACGTTAGGAAGAAAAACCTTAAGAACATGGCCAAACAGCCTGGAAAACCCATAACAACACCCACATTTCTTTCGAAAGGTGAAGCAAGATAATCAAGTTGGACCAGATTATTGGTCTGTCTGCCTGCCTGCCTGCCTGTCTGTGAGAATCAGAGCTATTATTGGTCTGTCTGCCTGCCTGCCTGCCTATCTGTGAGAATCAGAGCTGCAATGTTTAACCAGTAAATGTAAGTGATCAACACAAAAGATGTTCCCAATTATTGAGTATATGATTTAAAATGTTTCAAATATAGATTTGCATACTGCGGGCACCATCTTTAAAAAGGCATTCTCTCCCACAGTGGGAGAAAATGGGAAGTGCCGCTTCCTTGATTATTCCTGCTGTGGCACATATGTGGATCACCCGAAAACATAATAGATTTTTTTTTTACATCAAATTGTTTTTTCTCATAGGCATCCAGCATAGGCAAATTATGCAATTAATTTATTGACTGGTCAAACCATTACCAACTATACTAAAAAAAGAGGAAAAAAAACCAATCAGGTGACTGCCTTACTGAAAATTCCAGTCCCTTAACACTGACATTTGTCACAGTTGCTGCTAGCACATGCTTACATACTTTGTTTCCATAACTACAAAGAATCTGTTCAAGCATTGTTCATGCATGAACAAGGGGATCAAGAATGTGTTACTGGCCCCCCTCTCCTTAACACCAGCACATATATACTTTGTTTCCATAACTACAAAGAATCTATTCAAGCATTGTTCATGCATGGACAAGGGGATCAAGAATGTGTTATTGGCCCCCTCTCCGATGTAGATATCTGCTAAAGAGTGCCACCATATGGCAGATGCTCTAACATAAGTACCCTATGTCATCAAGACCACTGTTTGATGGCAGATGCTCTAACATAAGTACCCTATGCCATCAAGACCACTGTTTGGTGAAAATTGCCTGTGTGACCAACATCCTTTCATATCTCCATGCTGGCTGCATGGACATGCATAGCCTTTATATAGTCTATACGCTCAATGCATGATTTAACAGTACATATTGAAGTGCATGTGTTTATTGTGATCGTTTCCATAACTAAGTTTCAAAATGAAGCCCAGATCACAAGTAGCATTACTGATCCAAGAAACCAAAACTAGTAGGATTTTTTTTAAAAAAATGACAATTAAAAAAAATCAGGAACCACTTTGTAAAGTTACTACATCTTCATTTTCAATTTAATTTACTAAGCCAGCCCAAAATACTTTACATTGCAACAAATACAGTTGACAACACACTACTATAATAAAAAACCATTTTCCTCTCAGCTGGTTTGACATTTGCAGCTAAAAGAGGTTAAGCTTAATGTATAAATTTTGCCAGAGTTTCATTTATGGGCAATTCTTAACCAAGCTCCTATTAGAAATTTTGCCTTCAGCATGAGAATAAATTACCAAGTAGTTTTTTTGGGATTCTTCCTCTTTACATGTCTCATTGAGTTGAAGCAGACAAAATTCACATAGAGTATTCTCTGCACTCCTAACACACACACACACACACACACACACACACACACACACACACATCATGCCAATCTTATGCTCATAAATATACATATAAAAACATCCAGCATTTCTAGTCTTTAGTAGTGAATGCTAAAGGCAGCAGTTACAGTTTTGCATTTTCTTCATCTACCCAGATGTGCAAAAGAATCGCCTCACAAATGCCCAAATTCTCACTGTGACTAATTAAGAAAATCTCACGGTGTCACAGGCAAGAAGAAATTATTTTTTGTTTTATCATTTAGCATAAAAATATTAACTCATTTACATGCCTAGCCCAATGGTAAAGCCAGATGAAGTCACAATCTCTGCCCATAAAAAAGAACCAGCACTTCAACCCTGCGAGCCTTGGCTCTACTACAGTACTGTATGTAGCCTTGGAAGGAATGGACTGGCATCACCCATCATATCAAGGTCGGATCAGGAAGCATGGCCCTACTCTGTCCCCAACTGACTGCTGGTATGCAGGGAGGAATGCATGAAAAGGACTACATAGGAATCCAGATTCCATGCAAGACATTAGAATTGTAGCAAAATTACCTGTGGAATACAAAATGACAAGCTGCTTTAAATAGAGAGCATAATGCAAAGCAATCATTCAAACTTGAAACGCAACAATAGGTGTGTGTGTCATCGTCACAGTGGTTTCTCCAACTCTCAGGAACCCTTTCCCAACCATGTAACCTTTGAACAATAAAGGAGATGTCACTCTGACATAAATATTATTTTTAACAATGTATCAACAGTATTATTTTCTTTCCTTTTTGAGTTCTCGGTGTCATGTGACAATATTAATTAAATGCATCTCTGACCCTGCTGGGCTTCTTTAAATATTTGCAGTTCTCCACCGCGCTGTTTGGTTAATGAAATGAAATTAATGAGCTCATTAGATTCTGCCTTAATCTTTCAAATGCAAACGTGACAGTCAGGCTCACTGTTCTAATTCTTTCTTCTTGCAAGGAAATTCACTTCTAGGGAGCTAAAACAGAATGCCAGAATTACCTATTACATGAGCAGCAGCCAGGCAAGGCTACAAATCTGGAAAAGTTGGGGATTATGTTATTGAATCCTGGAGATTTAAACTTGGGTCTCCATATCCTTTTAAGTGGTCAGGTCCTTATTTGTGCCTATCTTTAAGTGTTTTGCTTCCGTAGGTCCATGGTGGATCCGGCACAGGCAGAGGAGGGATACGGTGCAGCATAGATGTGGAAACTCATCCAATTAGATTGGAAAGCCTAATCTACACTGATATAAATGGCACTGTCATCCAAACAAAAACAAGAAGGCTAGTTGTAACCAGCCTCTGAACTGTGGCATTTGGTGATCAAAATTGTGCAGGACAGGCTCTGTGGAAAACTTTTGAATTTAGAGATAGCATGGCACAAAGTAGGGTTTGGAAATGTCCTTTCTCTTTTTGTATTGTAACTATCAGAGTCATTCCAGAGAGCATGGGCAGAACTTTTCCAATAGCAAAGGAGCAACAGTCAAGGTAGGATGTGGTGGGTAACTGTTTTCTTTCTGCAACATAGCCCTGACATCTTCTGCTGGCCCTTCAAGATTGACAGATGTACAGAAAAACCTTCTTCTGGATTCCAATCTGGGAGGGGTGGGATGGTAGCCTAAGAGAGGGTGTGCACTGGATGTAGATGCTTTGAATCTTTCATCATTAGCTGCCACCTCTCTCTGTATGGCACTGAGTGAAATGCCTGCAAAGTAATTGATTTTAACAAAAAGATTGGGATTCAGGCATCTAGTAATGATTCTGCAGTTTCTGTTAAGTACTACGTCCTCCTGTTTTGCATGGGCTAAACTACATCAAACCAGGCTGTATTCATCTGAAGGTAAAATAAAATCAAGGCTGTAGTTCTTAGAGGTTGTGGTTCTGTGCCCTAACTGGTTCCTGATAGCTTTCCAAGAATATGGTTTCTTGTACAGACCTTTTGAATTTTGGCAGTATTTCTTATAGATCCAAAGTAACACCTAGGTAATTAAGGACAAAAATAATAGTCTAGTTCCACTCATTTCTGGGTTGCTTGAAGCTTCAGAGATGCCTGCTAATTTCCCAGATGAAGGACACACCTTGAATCTTTTTAGGGAAATTAAGGTGCCACTTGTATCAGTATGTTTTATCTGTTTTATGCAGATGCAATCCAGACCTGCTCTCTTGCCATTTTTGCAGCCACAAATAGCTTTTTCAAATTTGCTTATGCTGAATGGGTCTTGTAAGGCCATTAGTCTCCAGTTCATTGTTTCTTTCCTGAAGAGGAAGCAGAGGCAGGAGGGAGCTGTGCTTGGGAGACATTTTAATTGGTGAGATCTTCCTGGTAGGCTGACCCTTTGACCACATGGTCTGAGGGGGCGGGGCTTTGGCTATAAATTAGTGACTGCAGAAGCACCAAGCCCCTTTCCTGAAGAGGAAGCAGAGGCACGAGGGAGCTGTGCTTGGGGGACATTTTAATTGGTGAGATCTTCCTGGTAGGCTGACCCTTTGACCACATGGTCTGAGGGGGCGGGGCTTTGGCTATAAATTAGTGCCTGCAGAAGCGCCAAGCCCCTTTCCACATGGTCTGCTAGAGGCACGAGGGAGCTGTGCTTGGGGGACATTTTAATTGGTGAGATCTTCCTGGTAGGCTGACCCTTTGACCACATGGTCTGAGGGGGCGGGGCTTTGGCTATAAATTAGTGCCTGCAGAAGCGCCAAGCCCCTTTCCTGAAGAGGAAGCAGAGGCACGAGGGAGCTGTGCTTGGGGGACATTTTAATTGGTGAGATCTTCCTGGTAGGCTGACCCTTTGACCACATGGTCTGAGGGGGCGGGGCTTTGGCTATAAATTAGTGCCTGCAGAAGCGCCAAGCCCCTTTCCTGAAGAGGAAGCAGAGGCA